ATATTTCGCTGCTATTTATGTAAAGAAATTGGAATAGCGGCAGGTGTTGTTAGAGAGTCGCAGCCATTATAAGTAATGACGATGACTGTACAATTTAGAAGAAAGCTCCTGTTAGTGTTGGCGAGCCAATTAGAAGTGTTAGGCGGCGGAGGAGCCCCCGCCTCTCGGTTGTCCAATTAAACTCCCCGATGTGCCGGCGACGCCGGGCGCCGACACACTACCAGCTCCGTAATTGCGTAAACCACTTCTAAACAAACCTCGGCTTTTTTGCACGGCCCGCTAACAATAGATTCATGTCAGACACCACAAGAACTCCCTTACGTTCTGTGCCTCTTCTATGTAACTATTGAGTTGTTAATTAAATTCGCACAAAATTACCACCGCTCGCAAATCCCCGCGTCATAGACTCTATCGCCGCAACGTAAAAGCGATTTCAGCACGGTCCGAGCTCGGCGGTCGGCACTGATGTTGTTTCTTGTTTAATTACAACAATAGTGGCCCCTAATGAGAGTTTGCGCTAATAAGCGCTGCAAAATGTAATCAACATGCCTCGTCGCTCTAATGAGCCGAGTTCCTGGCAAAAACAAGCGATGTCGACATTTTACTGGAAATTAATTAGGTGTTCTACCTATACCGGGATCTGAGTAGTCCTGGACTCGCCGGAAACTCTCCTTTTCTAACTCGTTACGCCAAACTCCATGCGTTTCTCAGAACGTGCAATTATAAATACTGAAAATCGACTTCTAATCACAGTTAATGAGTTTGGACGCCTTTGCTATTTCATCTCCAACAAAATAGAGGAGGAATCGCTCCATCGAACAACTTCTATTGACAACAAAGTACACAGACCTGGTAAACGTCGTTAACTTAAATAAGTACGTTTGATTACGTCGTAGCTAGCTACCCCATTAAAACTTAACGAGGGGCAACCCCGGGGAAAATAACTAACCCAATTTCCCTTTGCCGGGAAATCATTAAAAGTCTTAAAAGGGTCTTTTCATATATTTTTTACCCGGGAGCGTACGTGCAAATAAACACATTTTTACATACTCGAACAAACAATTCCCCTAACGAGGCGGGAGCGTAACGAGCGCGGGCGGGCGGTGACCAGCGGGCGGCCCGCGCTCGCTCGCTCGCTCGCCTGGCGCTAATTGGGAGGATACGCTCGCAATGTGTCTCGTTACACGCGCCGCCCGCTGCCGCCAGCCTACCTGCTGCCGATAGCCGCTTGCACCTAACGACAACCCTGATTTATTACACCACACCACCAAATTGACAACAGAAACCTAATGCTTGGTTTATGTCACGAAAACGCTCGCTCCGTTCCTGATTGGCACTCATGGTATGTACGCGCTTACTTGACCAAAACAAGCCCCAGTTTTTATATTAAAGCTCACATATTTAAATAACTCAATCCAATTAACACAATTTTATCGCGTACGACGTATTCAAATTAAACGGCCACATTAACATAATATTATGGTAGGTATAAATAGCTACGAACTAATTAAGCGAAATGAATGTTTCTCTAATTATTCCAAACGATCATGTGGCTTTCAGACTGTGTAGAGTTCTGTTAGGTACTAAAATTTAAATTAGATCCGAGGAAATTCAATAGCTCCGTAACTAATCTCATATTTTGCATCGTATTAATAATTTAATTAATAGATTTTCCAATTAGTTCTGGGAACATAATAATGGATGTGTGTAGAATTAGCGTTGGATACAATCTGATTCGAGACTCGTCGGCAATTACGAACGACTACAAAATACGTCGAATACCTCGTAATTGCTGAGAATATTACGGCAGTGAACTTAATTGTTCTCGACTTAATTAATTAAGCTTTTGTTTGAAACTAACAGCAAAGTGTAGACTTGGCAATTCTAAATTGGATCTTGTAATTACCTTACCCTCCCTTTTGCTGAAACTGTCTACTTTCAATTATGGGCGTAGCTTTGTTAATGAAATCAATTATAATTGGGACACAATAAGCCTATTTGAATGCCAATAATGATCAACAATGGGTTAATTATTTGTATTCTCGTCGTGGCGCTGGTGTTTAACTAGTATGTGCGGCTGAAAACATTCGGCGGGGTGTTCAGCGGACACGTTTAGGGTTACCAGTTGATGGAAAAACCTTTCAAATATTCCGGGAAAGTTCAAAAAAGCCTGAACAATGCACGGGATGAAGTAAGCGGTCTCACGCGCAGCGGATATAGCTAGGGTTGGGTATCCTTTTTATATAACTTAGAAGTTCTGATTTTTAAAGACGGTTAAAGCATAATAAAGTAGCCGGAATACCAGATAAATCCTGACTAATTCGTACGGGTGGTAACCCTACCTCCGTTCATTAGAGTTCACCATTAGGTGCTCGGCTGATCATTACGGAGCCCTCTAATGAGCAACTTTGGTGCCTAATACTCCTAATCATTACTGACACTGCCGCTTTTTAACGAACGTTGAAAGCTGAGACTTATTCCAACTTTCTGCTTGATGGACAACTAAGCACACCAGTAACGGGCATTAGTTTTTATTTTTTATTAATAAATAAATATGTACCTACTAAATATGCAAATAGACAATGTAGAGTCGCTTATCTTAAAACGATGACATTTTAATGAGTCTCTAAGTCCTTATAAAAATACTAAACATCTACGCAATTTTGTATAATCTTGTTTAATCTAAGCTACCTACATCTCAATCGCTTTTTGCCTGTCTTCTGGTGCTTATCAAGCATTAATTAGTGCTATAAGAGTGCACGACTATAAAGTTATTAAAAATAAAGTTATTATATTACTTTAGTCATAAAACAAAGCAACACCATTGTATTTCATAAATGAGCTGGTTCCATAGTTGCGTTAGACAGGCGAGGTCTAAGAGACCCGAGCCAACTTTAATTAAGACACAATAATTAAAATAACAAGCAGCTGGCGGGCGCATCAGTATGCGAGGTCGTGGGGTTGCATACGACACGTCACTAATCCGTCGGCGCATTATACCCAGCCATGTCCCAACACTCGGCTCTACAAAACAACATAACATTCCTTAAGTTTTTTTTTTATATTCGTTCCGTAAAGCTAAGGGGGAAAACCATACTGCCTAGTTTGGCGCGCAAAGAGATCTGTCAATTTGTTTTTTTTTATAATTGCGTACTCGCAACCACTGCTGCTATGCCACATCAGTGTAGTATTTATTTTTAATTAATTATTTTACAGTTCGTAGTTATACAGATTTAAATATAGAGCCAAGAAATGTAGGAAGTACTGGGAAACTGTTTGTTGCACTTTTTACCTGAAGTACTAATTTTATTCGTATTGCGTAGTGGTAGATAAGGGAACCACCAGTCCATTAGGGAAGTTTCAGGCGTTCCGCTTCCCGCCTAAGCGTTTTTTTAATAGTAACCGCAGAAGTAATCGATCTTCAAAGATCTCTTTTGAAAATTTTATGCCTTATCTTTTATAGAGTTCAGTTAACATACAACTTCCTTGCTCTATTAAGAGTAAGTACATATTTATTTATTATTTGGTAAGAACAAATAATTTTCTCTTGCGTGAATTCAATTCAAAATACACGCACATAGCGGGTCTTTTTGTATGTCACAAATTATAATGTAATGTAAGTGACTCTCCCTTAAAGTGGGCTTCATAAAAGCTATAATCTCTTTGGCGGGAACTTCCTGGTAAGCGCGGATTGACAAACCACTTGCGTCGAGGGTTGAATCTTTGAATTTCTCAGAAAGAGTGCTTCTTCTTACCAGAATCTTAATGTCAGATTCTGAATGGTTATTTAAAGATTAATAATGAAATTAAACTGTGTATTCAATATTAAAATTATATTTTACCAGATAACATTTCCAGTACATAAAATTATTTAAACGTTGCAAATTCAGAAATAAATTAAAAATCTTCACACTAAATTAACATTATTTGTCTCTTTCTCTTATTATTTTTTAGGAGATTACGGAGATTTATTATCAATACCTTTAAAATGAACTTCCTTTGTTTACCGTAAGTGAATGTTTGTATGTGCGATGTAACCGATATTCCCGGTACCGGCGCGGGCGCAGCCAAATGAACCGCGATTAAGCAGACGCAGCTGAATGGCCAAACCATCACTTAATTGACTGCTAACACGCTTACAACCGGACGTATTGAACCACAAATCAATTGCTACGGAACCGTAACGTACGTAGAGGGCCGTAAAAGTGAACGCTGATTGAAACTCTACGTCAATTTTTTTCACACAATCCAATAACATTTACTTGATTTCTTGCAATATTTTACTAATTAATAATAATTTAATTAAACGTGCCTTGTAATTAAGAAAATTAATTTTGATTACATACTTGTTTCTGACTTTTAAATGATTTGTATTAAAAACAATTAAGTATTTTTGGTCACCCCAGTCCCATAAGATAACGCCGATAACCCCATGGATCATATTCCAATCAGTCACCGTGATAGAGTTAACAGCGGATGACTTAATTGCTATCAAACTGTAATTGATTATTCTCGCTCGAAGTTAACTACGACTTCCTGGCTGCAATAAAGTTGCCATATTTGATATTGTCCAATGAGCCGTTAAATGTTGTTTACGTCCGAACTAATTAACAGTGAAAGTAAACACAATTATTGACCCACTGCGATAATTCAGTTAGCAGGAGGAAGTCGGCCGGCAATCAACAGGCTAATCTTTGTGGGGCGCACACAAGACAATGCCGTGTTTTTTGTTAGTAAACATTTATTTTCTTTGCATCAAATAAGGAAAATTATAGTGGAAAGCAACTGGTTAGTTTGTTTAATAGAATTGTATTCAGTAAACAAACAATTTTCACTCTAGGTGCCGCATGAAATGGCGTTTATTTATAATTAAGTATTTAACGAAGTTTTTGCATTGTTACAGTAAATAAAAGCAGTTCAGTAATTTTACATACAAAAAGTATTTTGTAGTAAATAGTGTGTCTGATACACGTGTGTATAAAACTAAACAAAGGACTTACCGGTTAAATCAATCTCCTCTTCGCAATTGTAAACACAAAAAAGATAGAGCCAGTTTTTCCAAGCTAGTCCTTTCAATCCACAGAAACAATACCACAGTCACGACAATGGATCACTTTGGATTTCGTCCACTCCAATTGTCACTTGCGTGTAGAGTTTTTGACGTTATGGGGACGCGATGTAATTGTTTTGGTGTTCGCGGGTAGAAATGTTCCGGTTGGCGCGGACCGCTGACCGGCCGAGTCGGAGCTCGAGTAAAGTTTGCGAGTCGGAGGCGGCGAGTCGGCGCGTGCAACCCGGCGGAGCACTCGCGGCGAAGTGTGCCGGCGGCCGGCGGCGGCGGGCGAGCCGGGGCGGGCGCCTTGGGGTGGATGGAACAACACTCTAATATAATGACGGGGTCGGAACACTTTAATACTCTAATTGAAAAAGTATACTCTGACAACAGCTTTTAAGTGTAATTAAGGCTACGTCTTCACGTGAACTGATAAAATTGCTTTGATAATACATTTACAATTATGAAATGTAAACAATATCTTATTGAAATTGTAGAGTTTGGTTACTATGTATCACACTATCACAGTACGATTTTTTGAGAGCAATATTTTATTTCGGTAAAATATATTGGCAGATTTATAATAAAAATACAGGTTGCAGTCGATAAAACTAATCGGCAGGATCGTCACGTCCCACCGCGCTACATAGGTAAGAAATATCACAAATACTACCTCGATAGTGGATTCCGGCCTAAATTCAATTCCACCCCTTTCCCCCGCGCCCGGTAGGAAACCAATCTTCTTTACATTCCCTCGCCGACAAATTTATACTCCTCCATACGTCCTTCCTAATAGGAACCGGCCGTGAGCGCGGTCGGAGCTGGTCGCCGTTCGGTCGCCGGTCGCCGTCGCTGCGTAAATTATTAAGCAACCGGCGACCGCAAAGAAACGGCAAGTGTGTGTCCGTGCACCGTCGCTGAGAATTTAATTTCCACGGGCCGCCCGCCCTCGCCGCCATTGTCCGCCCAGTATTTCATTACGGCTCCAGCTTTTCTATTAATAAATCACTCTTCGCCTGCGCCGTTTAATTACGCCCCGGATCCGGCCATCGTCTGATTACACTTTCATCGAACATCTAATTAGGAGTGCAGTCGGGCCGGGTGGGAACGTGTGTATTCTTTGTTCGAGAGATATTACACTCGGCCTATATTACACCGCGACGCTGCTCCGTAGCTAAGTTCGAAATGAACAAACTTTGATTAAAATCGACCGCTTGCACCGCTTTAGTATACGCTTTAATATCACGTTAAATTAAAACTGAGCATTGTAATAAAGTATCATTTAAATTGCGCTTAAATTGAAAAACTTTTAAACAATGAAAAAGTAGTCTACTGTTACAGAATCCTCAGGAGTATTATGTAGAGTCCTTATTATAGCCGATGTAATTATGAATAAAAAGTAATTACCTTAGTAATATTCTTTCTAATTGTTTAAAGAAATAAAAAATAACATAAATATAATAAAATCCATCTAAAAACGAGTAACGTTTGATCAATTTCATCAAAGATGGTCGATGGGACGTGGGCGCTGCGTTCCAGCGCAGAGGCTGGTTTGCTATCTTACTTCGATTGTGTCTCGCTGTAATGCGATTATAATTACGTCGCGAGTTATCTCCGCAGATAACAGGTGAAAGTTCGCGGTTCTCGGTAATGGCTGAAGAGGTTTTTTAATTTCCTGCATCGGATGGAGCGGGCAAGGCAGCGGCCCGCGGGCCGGCCCGCCCGCGCCCGTTTAACTTATTGCCACGGTTAACGAGAATACGCCGTTGTGTGCCGGCAAAATTGAAGGATTTACTCCGCGTCCCTCCTTTATTAAACGTATTGCACACACTCCGCTCGCTGTGTGCGTGCCGACTACACGCAGTATGCCGAAATTACATTTCACATGAGTCGTAATAACAAGGGCGGGCGTAAATCACGAGCATTATTAGTTTCTCTTGTTACTCGTGCCATTTGTCACTTTGTATTGATGCAGAAACTGACACCTAGAAAGTATTGCGGTGATAATTGCTTTTGCTCGGTTTTGGTGAACGAAATGAAATTAATTAAAATCGAAAAACGGCGTGTTTAAGAAGTGAATGTTATAAATAAAATCAGATTTTCATTTTGTGGAACACAATTATAGTTAGCTAATTGAAATTAATTGCCCATCCCTAGATATTATTGATGTAAGTTACGTACAGTTCGAATATCAAACGGCCGGCTAGCGTCGAAATTGAAGATTGAAGCACCCATATTGGTTCACCAAACAAAAGGTATTGCTGGTCACGCCGAGACAGAATGCAGGTGACCACTGCGACGGGGCGGCGCTGTGCTCGGCGCAAGGCGCAATATCACCGGACTTCCTGTAAGCTAAAGCGTATCGCTCAAAGTTTCGCAATATACGCGCACCGAGCTCGTCCTTTATTAAAAACTATTCTCACATTTTTAATTAAAACTTGTGTTCCCCCACTAAAACTTTATTTAAGCAATAAAGGCGGCGCAATTAGCGGCGCTGTCCCCGCCGGCGACTTCACCTACTTTTCCTCTGCTTTAATGAGTGTTTTTTAATAAAGCCGGAGACTGCTGCAAGTTTATTAATTTAGTTTAACTCGCGTCACGGCCGGTCCGGTAGCGCCCGCCCTCGCACACTATAACCATACTTTTCAATTTAACACCCTGAACTATTACCTTAACAGGAAAGTTGCACAGAAATGCCATTAATTAAGTTCCATTATTTCTCATACTTTATACTCGATATTGCAGATAAGCTTATTTGTACATGTAATAAATATAAATTGTTGAACGAACAGCAGATGAAAGATATTTTTTATTATTTTCATGAACGTCTGACGCATGCAATTAGAGATCGGCCGAAATCGAGTAACTGAAAATTGTTACCAGAAAGTACGTGGACGTTTTCTGAAACGTAGTACATTAGGAATCCAAAGTAACGATCGTTGTCGAGCTGCGAACTAAAAGCTTGAATGACGTGGAGCCCCCTCGCGCGGTACAGCCCACCCCGCCAAGTGTTCCGGCCATAATTACATTCCCGTGTCTAACAAATGGAGAATCGGTGTTGATTTGTGTTTAGCCGAGCCCGTGATCCGCCGGCCCGTGCCCGTGCCAACTTCACTACGCGCCCAACAAACGACCACTCACCGCCGCAACACAGCTCACTTACAGTCAACACACTTTAGGCTACCTCCAAATGAGCACGTGAAACTTTGAAAACACTAGTAAGCACACCAAAAACGGCGCTTTTCATTTGGATAGAGCTTACATTCTGGTAAGTCTGTTTCAAAAATACTGATGATTTTTGAAGATGGCGGAAAGGGGCTGGGTAGTATACTTTATGATAATTCACTATTGATGAGTCACCCATTTGATGATGTGGTCTGAAATGTTCTGGGAAAACAATACTCGATTGGACAAAATAAAGGAAGGATGGCCAAGAACACTTTGAGGTTGGAAAAGCGCTTCATGGAGGCCGTGCTTTTTTATGCATTTCAGTCTGAAATTTCAGGAAAAACAATAGGAGATAAAGGAAGGCTGGCCATAAGGACACTTTGAGATTGGAACATTGCTTCAGAGGCTGTCCCGTTTCCCATACTTTTTTGTGTATTTCAGACTGAAATTTCAGGAAAAACAATACTCCATTGCACAGAATAAAGGAAGGCTGTCCAGAAAAACACTTTGAGGTTGGAAAAGAGTTTCATATAGGCTGTCCCGTACCCGTTCTTTTGTATGTATTTCAGACTGAAATTTAAAGAAAAACAATACTCGATTAGACAAGACAAAAGAAGGCAAGCCAGAAAAACACTTTGAGGTTGGAAAAATGCTTCAGAGGCTGTCCCGTTTCCTGTGTTTTTTTGTGTATTTCAGTCTGAAATTTCAGGAAAAACAATACTCGATTGCACAGAATAAGGGAAGGCTGTCCAGAAAAACACTTTGAGGTTGGAAAAGAGCTTCATATAGGCTGTCCCGTACCCGTTCTTTTCTTTGTATTTCAGACTGAAATTAAAAAAAAACAACACTCGATTAGACAAGATAATGAAAGCTGGTTAGAAGAATCTTTGGGGTTGGAAAAGTGCTTCACAGAGGTTTCCCGTGCTTTCTATGTATTGCAGCCTGAAAATTCAGGGAAAACATAATATAGATATAAAGAACTATGCAGATGTAGCGAGTTGGTGAATTTGGTACCTTGGGAGGTCTCAGAAGGATTAGACTTCCGGATACAAGACAGACTTTTCTTATAATTTCTTCTCTTCTTCTTTCTTTTTTAAAGTCCAACGGTGATAATAACGCATGAAATTAGTTTAGTGAACTCTATAATTTACTAAAATGGTATAAAATCTCGATATTATTAATTCGAATGTCTTTTAAAATACTCTTTCGAAGATAGTCACTTCCGTCATCTTCATTCCTCGTGTTTAATTTGTAGCAATTTGAATAACTTATCAAAAGCGAAAGTTAATGAAATGTCAACCTTATTGATGTCAACGTTGTAAAGATACTTATTAATGATCATTCAACACAAACGCAAATGCGGTGTGTAATTATGCGGCATTCAAAGTCGGTGTCGAGTTCGACTGAAAAAAGGCATCAGTTGAAAAAGCTAAATAGCAACGGAATGGGGGCGTTGCATTTCGTGCAAACCCAGTAATTGCGCGCATATCGGCTAAAGTGAAAAACGGAGCCGACCGCCCGGCCTAAAAGCGACGCAGATTGGATCAGCACACGGATTTTCCATTACAGGTAGCCGGTAGTTCTTTGCTACAAGTCAGCGACGAGTGTTGCTTTAAATTGCCAAAGCTATATTTGCACGGCGACAAATGAAACCACTTTCAGCTTAATTTTACCTGCTGTCCAACCGTCTGCGACGTGTAAGTGGCTAAAACGTGAGTGACAGACAACTTAGTGGACTTGGGTAGTCCATATTATTAGCTTTTTGTAAAAGCACACTGAATTTAGGATGTACTAAAACCTTATAGGTTTTCTGATGCAACTTATAAAAAGTGCGTACGTTTAACGCTGTTGGTACGAGTATAATAATGCAAAAACAAATACGCGCTTAAATCACTGGCTATCGCAAACGCATCAGGAAAACTTGTGCTTTTAGATCTAGCTCTACATTTCGAATTAAAGAATGAAAACAATTCAATACGTTAAAAGCTTTTTGTTCTAAATAACAAAAATATCTATTCGCATATCCAAAAAACCGTACATCGTTACGGAAGAAACCGATATTCGTTTGGTCGCTCGCAGGGTCGTTTGCGCCGTACGGGAGCAGTCGTTACG